AGATGAAGATGAAGATGAAGATGAAGATGAAGATGAAGATGAAGATGAAGATGAAGATGAAGATGAAGATTAAGATGAAGATGAAGATGAAGATGAAGATGAAGATGAAGATGAAGATGAAGATGAAGATGAAGATGAAGATGAAGATGAAGATGAAGATGAAGATTAAGATTAAGATTAAGATTAAGATTAGAATTAAAATTAAGATTAAGAATAAGATCAAGATGAACTTGAACATGAACATGAACTTGAACATCAACATGAAGGTGAAGATAAGCATAAACATAAATATTAAAAGCGATAGAGACAAATATAGAGAGGAAGAATGTGCGATGTTATATTGTGGTGTGTTATGCTACATATGTTATGTTATTTAATTTTATGTTATGGTATGGTATGTTATGCTAAGTACTAAGCTAAAGTCCCCGCCACTTAACCCATTTCAACTAATGATGTTTCAGCTCAACTCACATAAACTATCCTTAATTTTAGCGGTTGAATTTCAACCGCTGGGCGAACACTTGTATACATTAATTTGCTTTATTGTATAGTTTCAGGCGGGCTCATCCTCAACTATTTATTTGTAATGGCTTATTAACATTTATTTCAATTAAAGAATTTATAAGACGTGTTAACCGTCGTAAAATCTTAAGCTTAACCTTTTTTATGTAAAATAATAATTAAAATGATTTAAGAGGATTTCTAACTACACCGAAATGTTTTTAAACTGATGAAAAATATATAATTAGCCCCCCAAAACCATTTTAATCGTTTTTTTTTTCATAAAACAAGTTAAGATTTTACGATTTTTAACACGTCTTGTGAATCCCCTAAATATTGTTATTGAGCTTTGTACCACCATTCTATTTTTTAGGAAAAATGGAAAAGGCAACAAAGTCTAAGCGGTAGAAGTTACCACATCTCCTCATCTCCGATCAGCAGGGATCGAACCCGCATCATCGCTGTGCAAAGCCAGAAGCGCTAACCTCGAAGCTATGCACACCCAGTAAACAACTCTTGTTGCTAATCCATTTCCTTATTCAACCTAAAACTATCAAGTGCAGCTGATTCGCGGCTATTTAATCTTTACAGCGTGGTTGTTAGTATTAATTCTATACATGAAATAGATCCATTGTATAGTTTTAGGCGCGCGCATCCCAAACAATTTATTTGTCTATATCATTGTGGCTTTTTAACATTTATTTCCATATTGTTATTGAGCTTTGCACCATATTTCCACTTTCCCTTATAAATATAATTGTGGTGATAAGTAAATAGTTTAGGATGAGCCTGCCTGAAAGCAAATTAATATATAGAATCAACAATACAACCATGCTGTAGAGTTCAAATAGCGGCAAATCAGCTGCACATGATAGTAACGGATTGAATAAGGAAATGAATTAGCAACAAGAGTTTTCGGGGTGTGCTTAGCTCAGTGGCTAGCACTTTTGACTTTTCAAATCAATGATGCGGGTTCGATCCCTGCAGAAGTCTGATGAGGATCTCCGAAATAGCTGCTATAACTTCTACCACTTAGACTTTGGTGCTTTTTCCATTTTTACTAAAAAATATAATCGTGGTACAAAGCTCAAAAACAATATTGAAAGAAATATTAATAACCCACAATAATACATATTGACAAATAGAAATGTATTTCTCTTTTTTCGATTTAAAAAAAATACACATCTGCAAACCGTGCAATAGTTGTACATGCGCGACTCTTGCGGGGTTAATTTCAAAATTTATGTCAACGCTATAACGAAATTACGTAAATAACTCTTTAAATAACATTGAATATAACATATATATATTAAAGTACACAAATGGAAACATTGAGGGAATAATGAATAGCCTTAGTGTTTCACAAACACATTTCCATATTCCTTACTGCTAATTTATTTGTATTAAATAAAATAGAGTTTTGCTAACTTGCGAGGATCGCCTCTTTTTTTAAGTATAAAATGTATATGTATGTATGTATACTTATGGTGCAGTCAAATTTGAAAAGGCTCACAATCAAAATGTTGTTATGTTGTATGTTTTTTTATGCCTAAATCGATTTCAAAAATAATTATTGTCTTAGGAGACCTATAGATAGTAGAATTACAAAAAAAAAGCCTCAGATTATTCGGAAAGAATTGCCTGCCATTAAAAAAAGTTGCATAACCAATTTTCGATTCTAATTTGACTGTACTAATAGCGAAAAAGAAAAACTTGTTCATAATAATTATTCTTATGTTATATAGCTACCAGTATGGACCGGATACATATTTGCTTCAACTTCGGGATGTAAGCTTTCCAGTGAGGTTACGGGAGTATATGAAAGTTGCCCACAGAAGGTCACCCTCCTTTGCTCTAAACGACAACGTTGATTGGTCTGTAAGTATCTCCTTAGAGTTATATTTTTTACGATGTGTCATCAGAATTTTATAGTTAAATAATACTCATAAGATCAATTTTTAACAGGGGACCCCAGATAAGAG